CCCTATCCGTCAACTCCCTTGATATTTCCGCCATTTTCCCTTTGTCTACGCACCGAAAGCATGGTTTTTTGGCTTCTCTGTCTCTGCTCTATGCTGTTGTGCGTTTCGGGTCGGCCTCGAGTGCCATCAGGCCCCCGAACAACCGATTTGACGCCTTCGACAGATTGAGCATCTCCCTCATACGGACATCTACAATCTCTGGTAACATTGCAAGGTACTGGGCGAGGTCGCGTGCCGTAGACGGGACATATCCAAGTTCGTTCCCATGGGCCCGTACCGCTGCACGCCGGTTTGTTTCACATTCACCTACCGTTTACATGTATGCTACCGCTGATCACCTATTTTTGCCAGGGAATTTCCCCGTACGTGAATACTTATCGGCTATCGGAAGGTGTAACACTCCGACGCGTGCTTGATACTCGTCTCAAACCCGTTCTCTCGTATTGTGTGCTTATCAATAGTATCCGTCCGTAACAATATACATTCGCGCCATTGAGAACAAGATATTTCTGAGAAAAGTGTGAAGATCCATCCATCCATTGGTACACCAAATCGACAACTCAGACAGGTCGCTGAAGAATAAGTCAATCTAATCTGATTAGATTCCCTCAGCCTTTTCTGTGATCCATTTTTCGTCTTTTCCTCATACCTCCATCGCCATCGCCCTCCTCCACTATGCCTCCTGCAGATCTTCTCGAAAGATCGTTGATATCAGGAGTCTGGATTTCCAGTGTCGACTCGGACATCTCAAAAGACATCCTGAACGCGTCCAAACAGGTCGTCGACGGCGCTTACCGAGACTTCCTCACTTCAGCCCCCGTGCACGATCTACTCGGTGTACTCTCCGATGTCGATGCTAATAAGCCGCTTTCGACGTGGTTTTCGTTCTCAGATCGCACAGACGAGTCTCTGGGTGCGGAGGTCGTGCGCCTTCTCACCGCCGTCGCGTGTCTGAACACGTTCCTCCAAGCCAATTGGACCGGCCCTGATCTCGACTTCACGCCCCTCGATATCATCTCTCCCCCCTCCGACATAACAGAAGAAGATCTTCATCGAAAGTCCGTCGCAGAGCTCGCGTACGGCGGCGAACCATCCTACCATCTCGCCCAATTCCCCATCCTCTTCCGCGTCGCTCAGCTCCTCCTCGATCCCCCCTTCCATCATCTCCCTTCGGCCGAGTGGTGGAGACTGCGTGTGTGGAACGTGCACGAGCAGATCTTGGACGAAGCTGTCTGCGTCCCCGCCGGATCTCTACCAGGCATCGACGAGCTAGCGGAGACGTACGCGGACGATCCGGATCTCGTCGGCTGCCTCTGGCTTGAGCGCGGTCTGCTCGAACACCACCAGACGAACGACAAGGTGGCGCTCGAGTACTTTGTCCGCGCTGCGCGCGCGACAGACCTGCAGTACGAACTCACCGGTGCGCTCGGCAAGCGAACCAAGTTCCAACAAACGGACCTCAGTCAACTCGTCCTCCTCGCAGAGAGTCGCCCCCGCGCCAACCAAGATCCCAGACCCACATCGACAGAATTCTGAGTTACAAACTCAACCACGAACATGCCCGAAACCCTCGCCCTCAACGACGACACCCTCCTCGAACAGACCGAGTTCACCTCCTCCACCCCTGCCGGCCCCAACTCCCGCCTTTCCCACCTCTCCCCCTCCGCCCAGCCCGCCCTCCACCCGCTCGACCAATGCATCCTGCTCTCCCTCTGCCTCAACGTCCGCAACACCTCCCCCGCGCACGGACTGACCAACGAGCAAATGTCGCCCTACGTCACCCGCGTCATCTCCCACCCTGAAAACTGGTCCGTCCACACCATGGCCCTCCTCCTCCGCACCCGCCTCGAAGCCCACCGCACCCGCACCGTCGAGCGTGCAACGCTCCAGCTCCAAGCCCTCGTCGACCAAATGCCGACCGCGGACGCACCGCTCGGCGAGCGTCTGCGCTACCTCCACAGCCTCCCGCTCCCGAGCAAATGGGAGATGGAGCACGAGCTCGCGCAGCGCTTCCTCTCGCTCGGCGTGCTCAAGTCCGCCCTCGCCATCTTCGAGCGCCGCGAGATGTGGGAGGAGGCCGCGCGTTGCTGGCAGGCCACCGACCGCCGGGACAAGGCCGTCGCCCTCGTTCGCGACCTGCTCGAGGGTCGCAAGGCCGCCGCGGAGACCGTGCTTGAGCGCGGGAAAGGCCTCCTCTCCGACACCCGTCGCACGGTGCTCGACGCCGCGCGCGAGGCCAAGCTCTGGTGTCTCCTCGGCGAGCTCGAACCCGAGCACGCCGCGGATCATTTCCGCAAGGCATGGACGGTGTCCAAGGCCACGTCCGGCCGGGCCATGCGTTCGTTGGGTGGATACCACTTCGCGAGGGACGAGTTTGAGGACGCCATCGTGTGCTTGCGCAAGGCGGTCGCGATCAATCCGCTGCTGTTGCGTTCGTGGTTCATTCTCGGCTGTGCATGCGTGAGGACGGAGGACTGGGACGGCGCGAGGGAGGCGTTTGCGCGTTGCGTTGCGCTGGACGAGGAGGACGCGGAGAGTTGGAACAACCTGGCGACGGTGTACCTCCGCATGAAGCGGGTATCGAAGAAGGTCGTGGATGGCGAAGACAAGGTGGGTTCCCCTGTTCATTCTCCCTGGTGAAACTTGACCGATGCTTCTTCCGCAGGATGACGACGACGACGAGCTCGCACCCTCCAAGGACGAGCTCCTGAGCGCCTCCATCCCATTCGAGAACAAAATGCTTGCGTTCCGCGCCCTGCAGCAAGGCCTCAAGTTCCGTTACGAAAACTGGCGCATGTGGATGAACTACATGGTCGTCGCGATGGACGTAGGCGAGCTCGCGGAGGCCGCGCGCGCGCTGGGGCGCGTGGTCGAGGAGCGCTCTGCCAAGCTCGGCGCAGAGGCCGTGGACGAGGACGTCCTGGACCGGCTCGTCGACGCTGTTACGCGTGCGCCTGCTGATCCGGACGAGGCGGTCGAGGGCGCAGGTACGGCTACCGCCGCGGTGCACAACCCCAATGAGGGCCACGGGCTCCTGCGCCGCGTGGACGACCTCTTCGACCGCGTCTTGCTCCCGCGCGTGTCTTCCCCGCGCATCTTCCGCGCGCGCGCTCGGCTCTTGACATGGCAGGGCAAATGGGAGGCGGCAGTACAGGCGTATCTGGACGCGTACCGTACAGGGGTCGCGGGCAAGATCGATAAAGGGGAGACGGACGTTGAGAGGTGGAGGGAAGGTGCGAGGGAGGTGGAGGAGACGGTGGAGGTGTTGAGGAATTTCGGGCCGAAGGTGGAGGGGTTCAAGTGGAGGGCGCAAGGGAGGAGCATCCTGAGGACTTTCATGGGGAGGACGAGGGACTTTGAGGACGAGAAGGAGTGGCAGGGTTTGGTGGATCTGCAGGAGGAGTTGAAGCACGAAGAGTGAAGAGTGAAGAGCGGTGGGGGTCTGGAGAAGGGCGTCAGGTAAGATAAAGGTATAAGTCACCGAAGGTTTAAGAAATACATCTGTAGCATATATCTGTAGCCGTAGCTGCTTAGAGGTTGCAAATCATGTAAAATTCCAGCCGCCGTGGATAGTGTCGGACCAGCTGGAAAGAGCTGTGGTCGCTAATTGTAGCGCTCCGTGTATGTTCTTGCTCGAATAGCACGAAACAGTGGTCGAACTTGGGGGAGTCTGGTCACAGAAATCACCCCAAACCTCCGTAGAGACGCGACGGCCTGAATATCACTATAAGCTAGGATGCGGAGTGAGAGAAGAAGACACACAAACCTGACGTGGCTGAGAAGTCGTGTATGAGACTATGAGTGGATGGGAAGTGCGCAAACGTGTTTTCACTGGTTCAACCGTGGTTGAAAGCAGTTTTCAGCGCATGGCTAGATTCGTCGAGAGTCGAAAGAGACTCCCGTGACCAGCGCGCGACCAGGAGCAAAGAAGATATGGCGACATGTTCGGTATCCCATATCATTGTAATGGCCTCCAAAAACACGGCTACACTTGTCTTGATGGTTCTTTCTGAACAAAGGTAGAATTTGAATTCAAAAACGGGTGGTTGCAGTTAGTTGAGCCTAGTCAAGATGACCGTGACATTTTGAACTCAATGCATCGCAGGAGAAACGCAAGGGTTGGAGTAGCAAAGTGAATGGATTAGACAGTATGTAGATAAGGGAAGGGAAAAAACGGCATCCTAAACCCTCGCCTCGGCGCTCCCCCTGAAGTGAACCGTGGTCAGAGCCGACACGTCGAAAGATGAAAAGGCGAGCCGACGTACCTATTCACCATGGCATACTCGTGCGCCTGCTTCTTCTTCAGCAACACCGCGTTCTTCTCAACGTCTCCCTGCAGAATGGACACGATCTCCCGCGCCAGACGCTCCTCCAACGTCTGTCCCGACCGGTTGTCGGACGCCTTGAGGATCCACTGGATAGCTTGACGCGTGCGTTGTTTTTCGCTGAGCGCGATGGGTTTTGGAACGACCTTGTGCCCGCCAAGGACCTGGTGCGTACAGCGCACGGCGGGTGCGGCCATGAGAATGCCCTCGCGAAGCATTTCCAACGGGGGCCCGCGGGTGAAGGTGTGCAGCCAGAGGAGGGTGCGAGCGACGGTTCGCGTGGCGCGTTTACGGTTGCCGTGTCGTTGGATACATGAAGCGAGGAAGTGGAGGAGAGGGTCCTCGACCGGAGGGATGTCCATAAGTGTCGGTTGCTCTGTGCGGGCGACGGTGGGCGCCGGTGCGAGGCTGGGGAACACGGGAGTGGAAGAGGAAAGGGTGCTCGGAGCCACGGCGGGGGTTGCGAGCGGGTTCGTCAATGCATTTGAAACGCGAGAGGACGAAGAGAGTGGGCGTGCGAGGGCGGGGAGGGCGCGACGAGCGCACTGGCGGATCGGAGACAACATGGCGCGTTGCAAACGCGTCCCGGCCGCTCGTCCGTCGGCTGGCTTGAGGGGAGAAACGCGTACGGTCGTGGTGCAGACAATAGCTATTATGAAAGAACCCTATTTTAACGCCTTCTTAGCACAGTGGTAGTGCGCGTCACTAGTATTCTGGTTACATAATCATGTCACGTCATCCAAAGCTCGACCGAGCGGATTGAACACTCTCCTGGGATAGAGGTTGGTTGTTCGATCCGGTCAGAAGGCATGTTTTTTTCCTCCTTTTCTGCCGCATACACCAGATTCACGAATCACAATCTTATATGTATAATGTAGTAAGTCCCACTCCCGACTCTCAAGTCCTGAATCCCGACTCCCGAGAGTTTTAACTTTCAAGTTTCTAGTCTTTTAAAGCCTTAGAGGGCGAGCGCCGGGAGTCAGAGAACTGTGGTCTCTGTTGCTCAACTCGATCCAAGTAATGCTAGGGTTTCGCACCATGAAGGAGGATAATACATACAATAGGTGGTCGCCGACTCGCCGTACTTACCTTGGGTGGAGGGCCGCCCTTCCTTTGTCTGTACGTACATGGTCTTTCGCACACACTACGCAAGTGTTGAAAAGAGAACTAGATTCATGGTATCCAAAAGATCGATCCGGTCCGTGGAGAGTAAGTATGCTATTGGCACGGCGGCAGAGTCCAAGAGGCAAGAGACGCGTACGTGCAGAGTGGGGATGGGATGGGTGGGTGGATGTACAGTTCATGTCACGGATGCGTAGACGATTAGTGTGCGACGGGGGGACAAAGAGAGGACGGCATAAAACGTAACGTAACGTAGACGTGATAGTGGTGATCGAGATGGCGACGATGTGGTCATGAACGCAAAACCTCGGGAGAGAGAGAGAGACGCGTATAGTACATACACTACGAGAGCGAAGAAAGAGAATCCAGGGGACGCCTCGCCCTCGTCATCGTTCATACCTGCCCCCTCGGCCGTCTTCCCCTCCCGGCGGCGGCGGGATCATACCCGCCGTCGCAGGGAACGTCGCGCTCAGAGGCGACGACGTCGCCCTTCGAATTGGGACCGGACTCGCCGACCTCGACCGCCCGCCGTGGTACGGCTGCTCCCACTCGGGCACCACAGGCGGAATGATGGCGGGGAACCTTGGACCCAGCGGCGAGATCGCGCGTCCCGGACGAGGACTTAGCGAACGCCTCACGCTGTCACCCGACACGCTCCCGTACGCGCTGTGCCGTCCGTCGACCGAGATGCGGCTTCCACGCGCGGCGGTACCGACGCCCGCCATGCTCGTACGCGTCCCGCCCTCCATCAGCCCAAGCTCGAAGTCCCCACCCGAGTCCTCCAGGCCAAGCGAATGCGTTGCGTCTCGCGTGTGCGCTAGTAGAGGTTCCGCGACCCCGGGGCCGTCGCGCGTGTTGCCGTTCACATCGCTCGCGCTGTGGTGGTGCGATGCGGTGGGGCGTGCCGCGCCGCGTTCGTTGTGGAGGGTCATGTCCGGGTCCGAATTGTCCTCGACGAGGGTGTGGCGCCAACCGGACGTGTCCCATGGGTCGAGGTTGAGGAACGATGGACCCTCCGGCTCCGACTCGGTCTCCTTCCCGCGTTTACCGAATTCGTTGAGGTCCTCCGAGCCTACATGCGTCCTCCCGCTGTCCGTGGTGTACGAGGAGCCGACCTCCTTCCTCTGGTGGTAGCCGGCCAACGCCATGTGCAAAGAAACGTCTCCGTCACGCTGGCCCCTCGGGCCCAGGTACGCGTCCTTGTTGTCGCCGTCAAACCCTCCGCCGGCCTGTGCGCGCCGCCAGCGTCGCCGGACGAAGAACCACCGCGCGCCGAAAAGTAGGATGCAGAGCGCGACGAAGCCCAGGAGGCCGAAGAGGACCTTCAGCCCGACTGAGAGCCCCCCTTTGCCATCCGAAGACGTTGAGCTGTTCGACGTTCCGCCCCCGCCCGTAGACAACGGCTGCTTGAGGACGCGGACGGTATTGAACTCGTCGAGCGCTTGAGTGATGTTGGTGAGACTGAGGATGCCGATCTGAGGATGGGTGGTGTCGGTGGTGTTGCTGGTGGGAGGGAAAGCGCCACTCGCGTCAGGGACGTCGTACGCTAGTACTGTGTAGGCGTTCCGAAGGAAGGGCACGCCCAAGATGATGTCGCTGAAGGTACCCGACGCGTGGTCCAGCGCCCCCGATGCCGTCTGGATGATTCCGATGCAACTGGTGTCGCGCGGGTTAGTCGACGACACCGCGGTCAAATCCAGCGGGTGCAGGGGTTGGGGGTTCTGTCCTTCCAGCGTAATGGACATGTTCAGGGGTGTAGTGCATGGCAGGTAGTCTATATCTCGTCAGCACGATCTTACAACTCCACGTGGCGAACGGGTCACTCACATTGGCCGTCCGAGCCGGGTCCGATTCCTAGCGCGCCATAAATCGCGTTCGCGATCGCGGTGGTCGTGAGGATGTATGGGACACCCGTGTCCAGCACCGCCACAGGGAACGCCGATCCAGAAAGCGATCGCCCGAGGGAAATGACCTTCGGTTGGCTGTTGACGTATACCGTGATATCCCGCACGCTCGATTGCCAGAAATACGCCCCGTAAAAGCTTCGTATCACGGGCGAGTAGGTGATTTTGCTTGGGTCCGACACCAGCGAGGACGGATGTCGACCGATCCCCATTACAGAGGGCACTCCCGCCACACCTGGTCGCTCGAGTGCGAGTGAAAAGAAACGAAAGGGAGGAGCGTCTTCTGCAGGTGTGATTCCGAACAGGTTCGCCGAGAACGCTGCCCCGTCTGGCGCATCGCCATCCGTGGGTGGAATGTCCTTCTGTATGACTGAGTTGGGCGGTAGGGCGAGGCCAAGCACCCCATTGAATCCGTTGTCCAGCGGTTCCGAGTCGACGGTGTCTGCAGCCGCTGTTGGACAGGTCGATCAGTAAAGTGTTCGGTGAGAGATGGGGAAAACGCACCCAGAGCCTGGTTGCCGACGCTGTAGCCGCCAATATCGAGCTGATCCCAGTATATGGGCCCGCTCACAGCTCCCGCCAGGTATTGGATCTGAAAATCGACGCTCGACGCCAAGGCAGCAGAGGGGTCGTATTCGTGGCTTTTGGTGTTCGAGCAGGATGGACTTGAGCAAGACTTGGAGGCTAGCCACTGCGAGAGGGTTAGTCGTGATACATAAGATAGGCAAAGGGCGAGCGGCGCACAAGATCCGAAGAGCCTGTATCAACCTGGACCGAGAACGCTTGTCGGCTGGCTCCGACTTGAATTGGGATGGTGTAAATTCTGCGGGACCAGGTCAGAGCTGCATTCGCGGGAAACAAAGGGGATAAAATACGCACGATTCGTATGTTCCGTCGCCTACGAGGGTCAGTGAGACGACGACGCCGTCAGAGCCGCTGTTGCCTTCGTCTCTGGGCATACTGGGAAAAGGTCAGCGTGTGTCCAATGGAGGATCGCAGGGAAGAAGGCGCGGGGGCGTATCAGTGGCTGCCTTTGAATGAGGGTCCACTGCGTAGACTCGACGGCAAGCGTGGGCAGAGCATGTGAGCACCTCATGTGCGCGGCGTCAAAAGAAACTCTGAGTGAATGGATCTCTCCGTGCGCCTGGACTCGCGCAATGGCCCTGAACCGCAATTGACGGAGAGAAAGATGCCACGCCGTGCGCCCACACGCCACCATTTGGCATCACAGTGTACGGCCATTCCTCCCCCCTCCCCCCCCCTGCATACACGGAACCGACACCGCCCTTGCGAAGCGCCCGTGTACCAAAGCAAGGCCTTGCCGCGCTTGACAGTCGGGCACCCATAACCCGCGAGAGCATGGTACGCGTGCCTCCCTGCCGGTATGGAAAAGGAAAGGACGAGAAGGAAGGGGGACATCGTAATCGCCAGGGGGGGCGCGTCTCTGGTACACGTCGAATGGCGAGCATGCGGGGTAACCAACCATACGAGTGCATGGACTGCAACTGTGCAGGACGTCGAGCTTTAACCCGCACGCTCTCAAGAGAGGAGAGTCCACGAGAAGGGATTGAAAATAGATGGTAGGAGCACTCACAGCCGATTTTGCGGTCTGCTATCCTGCTCCTCCCGCTCCCCTTGGAACATCGCGTCCAGAGGCCAAGCCCGGCTCTTTCCCTTCCACGGCCTGCGGGGTTGAACGGAGCCCACCATAGCGCGTCGTGGTGGCCGATGGGAGGAGTAAAAACGTGGAGGAGAATGAGAGTAGATGAGAGTAAAGGAGAGAAGGAAGGAAGGCGACGGTCGAATAAATGGCAGACGGGATCACAGACACGCCACGGCGAATATCGACCGAAGCGCTAATTGATGCGGTGGCCGAGGAGTAGATACCAGGCAGCGACCGATGGGGAGAAAAGGAGGGTGGCGAGGGACGCGGCGGGCGGGTGCGGCGGCGTCGTGGTGGATGTGGAGGAAGTCGTCGTTCTCATCGTTCTCGACGGTGCTCGAAATCGAATGCGGGGAGCCATTACCGTAAATGGGTGTCGAGCCGTTGGTTACGTCATCACCAGCTCAGTTTTTGCGGCGCCCGCTTCAAGAATCAACTTCAAGTTCAACTCGTTCGAACTTCGTTCTGCTTTGATCTTCAGACCCCCCCAACGTTCAACGTTCAACGTCCAACCCTCTGGTCCATCGACTGCATGTCAACGGACAGAATATCTCGATGACAAGGGACCATACTCCTCGCGTCCATGAGAACTGGCTCCTTATACTTAGCGCCTCGCCTGCCCTGGACCCGACTTGGTTGCTGGGACACACCTGTGCTATCGCCTTGCAATCGCCCTCCTCCTGGGAACCACTTTGACCTGGTTGATGAAAGATACGGTCTTCGAATCCCTTGTCCCATATAGAGGCTGTCCATGCTGCAGAGAATGCCGGAAGGCTATGCTTGGGTCCGTTCATGACTAGGTGCGAAATGTACGAACACACCTGATCGTCGTCATTCATCGTGCCGCGAGACTCCAGAGCAATGTACATATGTACTTAGTGGTAGACCTGAAGTGGTCTTCTCGGTAGAGCCGTCCTGCGGCCGCTGTGGGCGTAAGTGTGTACACCCTGAATCTACACCCTCTGGTATGTACATAGTCTGTCATTTGACTCATTCCATATACTTACTTGTGTGCGTGGGCCGAACATTGAACATATATCAATGCACAATAACCACTCTTTGACTGACCACGTGAGAGACACTCTGCCCATCGCACGATGAGGATTTGATACCATGATCGA